GCTCAAAACTGCCAAAACGACGTCGTTTTGGCAGTTTTGAGCCATTTGAGCCACTGTTTTTGTCCAAAACGACGTCGTTTTGGCAGTTTTGAGCCATTTGAGCCACTGTTTTTGTGGCCCTCAAACATTTTTCTATTGAAGTACCCTATACATCATTTATTCATTCAAGCAAACCAAAGGGCAGATATGTACAATACAACACAAAGAGGGTGAGATCAAAATGTGGGTGCGTACAAAAAAAACTAAAATACACCATGAGAAAGAGAGCTGCCACCTATGAAGTATGTGGACAAGTACAAGTATGGATACGTTGATATTTTAAAATTTAGAAAAAAAATAAAGTATGGGTATGACTAGACATGTTTATAAAAAATATTTATTTTTATTTTAAAATAATACAAAAATTAGTTGAATTTAATTTGTTGAGATCCAACTTACAATTCACATTTAATAACAAAAAATAAAAGGTATAAACTAAAATTAAATGTCATTATATTAAATAAGTTGCAAATTATAACTTAATGTTCAAACCATGCTAAGCATTAAAATAAATAAATAAATAAATGAAATCCAATGAAACTAATTTTTCCATTATATTAGAAGAAAATTTTGTTTCGACTAAGGTACAGTACGACTTGAATATACACTTGGTACATCTGGGATACAGCAAAAAGTAAGAAGAAAAAATTTGATACGTGTTTCATATAATCAGTACGTATGCAGAAGTATCATATGAAGTACCGATACCGATATTTATCGAAGTACCCATGCTTCATAGGCTGCCATAGATTCAAAATTTGCACACAAAAAAATAACTAGAAAAAATAACGTACGGTCTAAATGTGAATTCCACCATTAATTGCATTTGGTTTATTTTTACGTCTTGAAGGCAAAATAATTTTTATTATCAATAATATTAAAAAAAATTCAAGAGCTCTTTTCATCTATTAAAATAATAATGTAATGCAATTATTTTTTATTTTCTAATTATTTTTAGTCTTCCTATTAATTTGCAATTTTCCCTTTATTAAACCAACTACTATTAATAAAAAAATTAAACCCATATTTAAAACAGCTAAACAATTGAACCTTTTTTTGGGTAAGTTAAACAATTGAACCTTAACCCAAAATACTTGCTTTTTAGAATTCACTAATTGGTGGACATTAAACACAAATTGAAGTACCCTATACATCATTTATTCATTCAAGCAAACCAAAGGGCAGATATGTACAATACAACACAAAGAGGGTGAGATCAAAATGTGGATATGTACAAAAAGAACTAAAATACACCATGAGAAAGAGAGCTGCCACCTATGAAGTATGTGGACAAGTACAAGTATGGATACGTTGATATTTTAAAATTTAGAAAAAAAATAAAGTATGGGTATGACTAGACATGTTTATAAAAAATATTTATTTTTATTTTAAAATAATACAAAAATTAGTTGAATTTAATTTGTTGAGATCCAACTTACAATTCACATTTAATAACAAAAAATAAAAGGTATAAACTAAAATTAAATGGCATTATATTAAATAAGTTGCAAATTATAACTTAATGTTCAAACCATGCTAAGCATTAAAATAAATAAATAAATAAATGAAATCCAATGAAACTAATTTTTCCATTATATTAGAAGAAAATTTTGTTTCGACTAAGGTACAGTACGACTTGAATATACACTTGGTACATCTGGGATACAGCAAAAAGTAAGAAGAAAAAATTTGATACGTGTTTCATATAATCAGTACGTATGCAGAAGTATCATATGAAGTACCGATACCGATATTTATCAAAGTACCCATGCTTCATAGGCTGCCACAGATTCAAAATTTGCACACAAAAAAATAACCAGAAAAAATAACGTGCGGTCTAAATGTGAATTCCACCATTAATTGCATTTGGTTTATTTTTACGTCTTGAAGGCAAAATAATTTTTATTATCAATAATATTAAAAAAAATTCAAGAGCTCTTTTCATCTATTAAAATAATAATGTAATGCAATTATTTTTTATTTTCTAATTATTTTTAGTCTTCCTATTAATTTGCAATTTTCCCTTTATTAAACCAACTACTATTAATAAAAAAATTAAACCCATATTTAAAACAGCTAAACAATTGAACCTTTTTTTTGGGTAAGTTAAAAAATTGAACCTCAACCCAAAATACTTGCTTTTTAGAATTCACTAATTGGTGGACATTAAACACAAATTGAAGTACCCTATACATCATTTATTCATTCAAGCAAACCAAAGGGCAGATATGTACAATACAACACAAAGAGGGTGAGATCAAAATGTGGATATGTACAAAAAGAACTAAAATACACCATGAGAAAGAGAGCTGCCACCTAAAGAACTAAGAAAAAAAACACCATGAGAAATAGAGTTTCCACCCATTCGAAGTACCGATACCGATGTTTATCGAAGTACCCATGCTTCATAGGCTTCCATGGACCCAAAATTTGCACACAAAAATATTCCCAGAGAAAATAAAGTGCAGTCTAAATGTGAATTCCACCATTAAAGAGTTGAATTTGGACCACGCATTGTATTTCTAATTTTTTTTTTTTTTATGGGTACTTGTTCTATATTCGTAAATCTATTGGTCCGAGAAAAGTGCAGAAGCCTAAAAAGTTGAAAATCCGATATCACCGAACAATTGTTCCAATGAAATCATGTGGAGTGGATTTTGAAGGGGAGGACTTTGTTTTGATAGCACACAGAAACTTGTTGCATGGTTGGCGCAACTGTGGACTAGCACGCAAACATGCAAATGCTAGCTTTGCAATCAAATCCACTCGATGTGGCTCTTAATTCTTGGATGTTGGGAGGCGTTGGTCAAGAATATCCATAAAAAACATGCCTTCAAAATTTGACTTTGACGATGATGATGGTAGGGAATAGATGAGATGGCCTGGATGTTTCCCCATTATCACTTCCAATGTTAGCACTCTGAAGCTATAGACATCGCACTTCTCATTCGCTTCCATTGTGAAAGCAAGTTCTGCCAAGGAAGCAAATGCAGAAAAGAAGAAAAAGAAGAAATTGATCATGCTCTGTTTTCCAGTGTATGGTAATTTGAATTATCATAACACATACATGCAATTGGAGCTACAAAATGTCAGATCAATTAATTAGCTACTATGTCATCAATTAGTTGCATTTTAAATGAGCTGCTAACCATTTTTTTTTTTTTTGAAATTTTTTGTCAGACTGTTCATTGTAATTTCTACTTATAGCTTATATGCTTAAAATTCTGAAACAGAGTGTGGTTTTATATTCTGTTTATAGGTTATCGGTTTTCAACTTAAAAAAAGATTACAACGAACAAGCTCTAAATCACATGATTTGCATGGGATGAATTGAATTATTGACTTGAGTCGCCTACTAAATCAACTTATCATTTTGATCAACTGAAGTACATAAAAAAATAATAAAATAATTAATTAAAATAAAAAGAAAAAGAAAATGAAAAAGGGATAACTCTCATCATTTCTCTAAAACTCATATCAAGCATAGATTAGAGCTAGATTAACTTAAAAGTGGGAACTTAAATTAGAGCTAGATTAACTTATCCTTTTGGCTCTAACCAACTTCAAAGGCCTCCTAACTGAGAGCACACCAAAAGTTTCAACCTCAGCCAGTTGGGTTAGCATCAAAATGTGATGTTTAATGGCCATGCAATGGCCCTTAAAACTCAGTGGAATGACAAGCTTACAATCTTGCCAAATTTCATGAGTGAGAGAGACAATGAGAGTTACAGTCCCGCAATAGAAAGATAAATACCTAGAGCAGCGTATCCAAAGGTTTCCGCAAATGAAGTCTAATTTGAGCAGGATTTATGAGTCTAGCTATGCCAAAATCAGAAATATGAGCAACATATTCTAAATCCAACAAAATATTATTGCTCAATATCTCCCGGTGAATAATAGGAGGGGAACAATCATGGTACATATAAGACAAAGCATTTGCCACCCCTTGAATGACATTCACCCTCTTAGTCCATTCAAAATCCATTGCTTGCTTCTTATTGCTTAGTATCTTCCTTCAGTTTCCTCCTTCCAAGAATTCATAAACCAAACATAGGTGTCTTGGGTGTGAACAAAAACCATAAAGCTTCACAATATTACGATGCCGTATCTCTGTTAATGCTTGAATCTCACTTGTAAAACTTTTCATAACCACCAACTCAGCATCTTGTGAATTATGAAGTTTCTTTACAGCAACAACTTGACCACTTTGCAGCTCAACTTTATAAACAGTACCATATCCTCCCACCCCAATACAATGATTGGTGCTAAAGTTCTCAGTCGCTTCAATTATGTTTTCATACACCAATTTTCCATCATAGCTCCATATTTCAATCAAATTTTCCTTAGTTCCATGGCTTGGCTCATTGACTTTGTTCCTGGCTCTTTTGTGAAGAACAAAAAAAATTGCCAACATGACAAATAAAATAATGAAATACCTAACACAAGAACTATAACCAAAATCAGAAATTTGTTGTTCTTTTTCCCCTTCGCCCCATCACTCATTTTAGGAGGGCATGCCTTCAAACTAGAGATATTGCCGCACAAAGCTTTATTATCTCTGAATGCCTCAAACGAAGCCTTCTGAACGGCTTTACTGTTGGGAAGAGGACCCTCCAAATGATTGTAAGATATATCAACAGATATCAAACTTAGAATATCATTGAAAGTAAGTGGGATGAAACCAGAGAGCCCATTTTGAGATAGATTCAGTGACTCTAAGTTGTGCAGTTCTCCAATCTCTTGTGGTATCTCACCTATTGGTGAATTTTATCCAAGATCAAGATTTTAAAGAGAATGCAACTTGCTTATTTCGATAGGAATATCTCCTCCAAGTTTATTCTTGCTTAAATTCAAGTTTAGTAGCTTCACGCACTCCCCTAATTGTTTTGGGACCAAGCCACTGAGCTTATTTCTTGCCAAGTTTAGATTTTGTAGGTCAAACAAGCTACCAATTTCCAGTGGAATGTTGCCAAAAAGTTTGTTATCACTCAGAGTAAGGTCGAACAATGAGTGCAACTTTCCCAGATTATGTGGGATCTCTCCAACTAGATGATTTGAAGAGAGGTCAAGTACATCTAGTTGAGTTGCATTTCCAAGCTCAGACAGTATCCTCCCAAAAATATTATTGTTGGAGATCTTCAGGCTTGTCAGATTATGACAAAGTTCCTATTTTGGAGATAGCTCACCATACAAATGATTATAACTCAAGTCAAGATAATTTAAATTTGGGTATACACTGAAATCTTCTGATATATTTGCTACAAGTTCGTTTCTGTCAAGCCTAAGTCTGTACAATCTAGCACAAACTTTCAAGCTTTTTGGGATCAAACCTGTGAGATTATTGTCAAATGTAGAAAAATATTCAAGTGATCCACCAAGGCATACATTGTGTGGTAAATGACCTGTGAGCCTGTTAGAAGCTAACTGCAAGCTTGGTAAATGTGTAAGATTATTAAATGACAGAGGAATGGAGCCAGATAGTTAATTACCTAATAAAATCAATTGCTTGAGCTTATTTAAGTTTCCAATACTAGAAGGAATGTTTTCTGATAGTTTGTTGGCATAAAGATTCAGAATGGTTAAGTCGGCCAAGCTCCTTATAGAGGTTGGGATTGAACCTGTGAGATTATTTGTTGACAAATCAAGTTTATTGAGAGACAGAAGCTTTCCGATTTCTTGCGGGATAAACCCAGAAAGTTTGCTTTCATAAAGGTATAAGATGGTTAAATAGGTCAAGTTCTCTATTAAGGCAGGGATTGAACCTGTGAGGTTATTAAAAGTGAGAGACAACTTATATAGAGACCTTAACAATCCGACTTCTTCAGGGATCGATCCAGAAAGTTGGTTTTCATAAAGGCTTAAAATGGTTAAGTTGGCCAAGTTCTGTATGGAAGTAGGGATTGAACCTGTAAGATTGTTCCTTGACATTTGGAGATCAATGAGAGATCTTAGCACCCCAACTTCTTGAGGGATTGGTCCAACAAATTTATTTTTGGTAAGGCGTAATTTGGTTAAATTACCCAAGTTTCTAATAGACGAAGGTATTGGACCTGAAAGATTGTTAGAATACAAAAGGAGTTCCCTCAGAGAGCTACGCATTCCTATTTCTGATGGAATTGTTCCTAAAAGACAATTGTAGGACAAGCTTAGGTTGGTAGGTCTCACAAGGCTACCAATGTTTAAGAGGATGGTCCCATGGATTGAGTTGTTATAATGTTCAAGGCTGACAAGATGAAGGAAGGAAGACAAGTTAAAATTGAAAAGTGTTCCTCTTAAATCGTAATTCTCTAGGTCTATATGGGTGACTCTACTGGCTTTGTTGCATCCAATTCCAACCCAACTGCAATGGTTGGTTGCATCCGAAGATGATAAAAGAGATCGGCTCTGGTTGTTAAGGCTAGCTTTTCATGTCAAGAGAGTGACTACTTCAGTTCCTTCTTCTCCAAATTCTCTATTTGCAGAAGAAGCATAAGCAGCAGAATCAGAGGAAGAGACTAACACAAGGATGATGAGAAAAACAAACAAAACTTGGAAATGAATGAAATGGTTGGACAACTTCTTTACTAAGGATGTCATTGTTGGTTTGTTACTACAAACAATGAGAAGCAGTAGCACCCTCGTTCGCCCCATCAAAGATCGTCCTTTACTAATCACGATATGAATCTTATGTACATTATATGCTCTTGTTAGGTTATTAAGCTAGCATTACTATGTGATACGCACACACACAAGTGTAGACTAACTTTGCAAGAATTGGAACACTTGACTCATGTTTGTTTTTAAAAATTGTTTCGAAATATATACTACTTGAAAAAGTGATCGCATATGAACATTACTCAAATTATTCCAATTCGAGCAACAAGCCTTCATCCACGGGCAAACAAGCAGTTATAACACTTAAGCAATTAGCCTTATGGTAAGCATGCTAAACATGGCAACAATCACATACATGCGACATGCTAAAGCAAGTAAAAGGCTGACCTAGTACTCCAAGCCAAAAAAAGAGAACAAAGTTAAAATAATGCATGATCCTAGCTTATGCAATATGACAAATGCAACACATTCAATATGCAATTACTAGGCTCGGCTACTAATATGGCATATGAATCAATTCAATAGCATGCTGTCTAAGTATGTATTCAAAGAAGTACTAAACTAACAATGCAGCTAGAATGATGAACCAAGCCTCGGTGCATGCAATACAAATGGATGCAAACATGAAGTATGCTAAACAAAACGTGATGTCCCTAAACTAACCATCATAAGCTAGTAAATAAAAGGAAGAAAAGACGTGGGGTTGGAAGACATACACATTACTACATCATTGCACTCTCACGAAGGAGAGTCCAAATGAATAAACTAAGCTAACTAGCTAACTAATTAAGCTAATTATTACAAACCGATGAAACTAGCTAAACTAATTAACTAATTATTACAACACTTGAATTAACTATCTATTCTAGTTAACTAACTAATTAAATAATTACAACACAAGTGCAATTAAAATAAGTAATTAAACTAAACAATTAATTACTACACCTCGAGAAACGAGGGATGTTCATGAGCATGCTCGATTTCCACCCGAAAAGCCACTGTTTTGCTTCTGAATGCCTCTATTTGCACAATTGAACACCAACACTATTGCCCACTTCCAGAATAACTCTGTTCTACCTTAGAAACGTACTGCTCAATTTTTTATTAGTGGCTGGCCGGCCAGTGATGAAGGTTGCTGGCCACCAGTGATGGCCGGCCATTGATTGTACATGTTCATCTTACTGCAACAGAGGACAAACAGAGCATATACAGGGTATTTCATTGGTTTGTTTGCACAACTCACCCCTCTTTTTCATGAATAAATCCAAGGAGCGGTGAACTTAAGCCACAAACCACCAACTCAAGCAATTTCATTGCATGATGGCTTGTGACTCAAAGTATGCAATTTCAGTAAATGCAACAAAAAGAGACTCTAAAGACCACCTCCCTATCATGAATGATCAAGGGAAGTGGTGACCTTGAAGCCTTGAATCATTTCATCAGTAATGAGTATGAAATGGTTCAAGCTTCCATGTGTTCAATTAACGTCTGATTAAACACAACCAATTATTATCTTGCACCATTTTTTAGCCTCAATTTTAGTTACTCAATTTTAAATTACCAACCATTCTTTAAACCATCAAGTCTAATGGTGAGTTTAAGTCCTCTAAATGGAAAGAAGACTCAAACCAAAGTTGTTGTAGGCATGAAAGAGACATCATACTATTGGTAATGAACCCTCTAAGGGATTAAACCATTAAGCATGACATCTCAATCTCATGCTTTAAATAAACAAATAGTTTGAACCACTTTCAAAGCAAAATAAAGGCCAAGAAAGAAGGGAGGTTGCACAGATGATCAAGTGCTAAAAATGAGTGAGAAAAGCATAAATAAATGCTATCAACTCAAATAAGATGGTGTCTAAGGCCTAGAACACCAAGCTTATGAGGACTATTACACTATAAGCATGCAAAACAAAGCTCAAATGCAACTAACAGTCCAAAACAATGCTAAAAAAGTCTAAATAAGTCCGAAAACATGCTGGGATTGAGCAAAAAATAACTAGATTAACATGTTAAAACATGGCATCAACTAGGCTAGTAAGTAAGACACAAGGAGGGGAGGCTAATCCCTCCGAGTTTGGACTTCAAAATATGATTTTGACCATTGAAAAAGCTCTAAAAATCAGTGTTTAAAAGCTTGGAGAAAGATAGTAAAAGGGTGGGAAACACAAAGGCAAGGGCCTCCAAAACAAGGTACAAAGAAGGGGTATCAACCCCTCAACCTTTAATGGCCTTAAACCCAAGCTTCAGCCCAAAAAAATAGAGTTTTGACAGCCCAAAACAATTGAAAAATAGTAGGAAAAATAGTAGAGAAAGCAAGCAAATAGATAAAGCCTTATACCTCTTGAAGAGAAGAAGCAATTCCAAGCAACAAAACCAAGTAAACACATCCTCTAGAGCTTAAACCAAGCTCAAAAGTACCTCAGCTCAAAGATGGTGAGATTTGGTTATAGGCAAAGGTTAAAGATTTGTAGGCAAAAGTGTAGAGATTTGGTAGAGAGAGGGAAAAATTTTTGATCTCAAAATTTTCTAACCTTAAAACATGAGAGAGGGGCCTTCTATATATAGAAAACATGAAATTCCCTCAAGAAGATCCAGCCCTACATGTGGGGATAGATGCATGCATCTGTGCAAACAGCTGGCACAGCTAGCATAAAATATCTGCAAAATACACTAGGGGACGGCAAGCCACATCAGTGGCTGGCAGGCCAAAAGTGATGGCTAGCAGCCTCAAAAGGTGGCCGGTAGGCCACCAGAAGCTGCAGGCTTGAAAAACTAAGGCTTGGTCCAAAAATAAGGCAATAAGGGTGTAGGGTTTAAAAGGCTTAAAGCTGTGGCATTCTGCTGAGGAGTTCGAGCACTTGGCGAGCAAATACGTTCATCATTGGGTGTGTATGCGAGGACGTCCAAGTCATAAGGGCCGTCAAAAATGGGGTGTCTACACATGACCATGACCACTCTGCTCGTATTATCATATGCCCAAATTACTTGGGCTATGGGAACAAAATCCGTTGGTTTAAGGCCAATTGCATAAGCTATGCGGGAAGGACAGACATTGATGGCTAAACCAATATCTATCAACACCACCAGTACCCATTTCTCCCTGCACTCCATAGATATGTACAAGGGTTTGTTGTGAGCTGAGCCCTTCGGTGGCAGTTCTTTGTCAGAGAAGGTTAAGGTTGGCCTGGCGCCACCTGGGAAGACCAATCCCACAAGTTGTTCGGGGGTAGTGTCAATAGACAATTTAGCCTTGTCCATTGCTGACAGTACTGCTTGTCGATGTACCCAGGAGGCCATAAGAAGACCCCAAATTGAGATGTCAGCTTGGATTCTCTTAAGCTGTTTCAACAGTGCCTCTTCTTCCAGCTGCTTCTCTTTCTATTTCTCGACCTCTCTGTCTTTTCCAGATGCCTCAGCTTGATCTAAGTGCGGTGGCTTAAAATGCCACCCACTTCTTGTCATGTGATCTATTTCTTCAACGTACCATGTGTTGTCTGGAAGGCACTAACCCCAGTCTTCGTCGGTGTGGGCCAGATGCAGATCATCATCATTCCACAATACACCTTCAGTAGCCGACAAATAGTTGTCCGGCTCTGTTTGTATTACCTTCACATCACAAGTATCCCCCACAGGGTGTTAGGCCATTACTGCTTTCTGGTTGTCTTCAACCTTCTCTCGTTCAAACTACTTCAGTGCAGCGTCCTATTCTGTGTCTGCAATGCTCACAATGCCCAGTTCGTGAGCTGAATTTTCTATGCCGGCGTTCTTCGGCAGCTTTCCCTTCTCATCGGCCCTTCTGGCCACTATAACAATTCATGTTTCCTTTTCCTCTGGTTTTATTCCAGTTCTTTCCTCCTTATCTGGCTCATCACTCAGCCACCTAGAGTTGTGAGTTAATCCATTCAAATCAAACCAGCCAATCTGCACATCCCCTTGATCTTGTTCATCAAAGAACTGCAGGTTGTCTAAATCCTCCTCGAGTTCGGTCAAATCATCTAACCCCTAGCTCGGGCCATCTTCCCTAACCACATTAACCTCTACCACAATTGGAAACACCAATTCAGGCTTGATTTGACAAGTCGGCACAATATAGCAGCTTGGATTGTACACCCCATTAGGTAAGTCCTCAGAACTCTCCGACAACGGACTCATACTTTCCTCCAAGGTCGACCTCCCTTCTACTACAACTGTCACCACCATAGGCTTAGGTTGAAGTGCAGACGTGTCCATCATGCATAGATCTGTGGTTTCAGAAATGAACAACATCAGTCTTGGTAGGTGGGAAGGGGTAATATATATGCTGGGGTCGTAAGGGATGGCTAGTGTATGGATTAGGTTTAGATTTTGAGGTGGAGAAACTTGATTATGGGCCGGGAGTGGGTTTGTAGTTACATTTGGTTTTTGGGTGGTGCGATCACCTTGTTGTCAATGAGGTCTTGAATCTCACGACGCAGTCGGAAGCATTGGTCAGTATCATGTCCATGCTGTTGGTGATACCCGCAGTATTTTGTGGGGTTGTGTTTGGTTGGAAGAGGATAAGGTAATGGGCGGGTTCTAATGGTTTGAGGTGCCCTTTTTTGACTAGTACCTTCATGACTTGAGATAGGGTCATGTAGAGTTGGGTAAAAGTCCTCTGGGATCGGGAAGGGTTGGCTAAGGTTTGTGGAGCTGTGTTGGCGAAGGGATTGGCAGTCTTGGTTGTGGTGGTGACAACGCTCAAATATGATCGCCTCACAGCTGTGCTACCACTAGTGGTAGCATTGGAACTGCACACAAAAGGCCTTTTTGCTGGCTCTTTCTCATCTATAATCAGCCTCTGTTTCATGATGTCTTCGATTTGCACCCCATCTCATGGAGCTCGATGAATATGAACAAAGGTAGGACGATCATCTTTTATAACAACTTCCCGTGTAGATTGCGGACTACCATCCTTATCTGATCTTTCTCAAAAGGCCTTGTGGTCATCCTTGAAGCTTCAGCTCTTTACCTTGTCATAAATTCAAAGAAGCCCTCCTTCTTCGGCTCTTGGCACGTTGCCTCGAGATCATGAGTTGTGACCTCGATTTGTGTATTGTACGAATACTGTGCAATAAAAGCCTCGGCCATCTCCTTTTAATTCTGCTTTACAGAATCTTCTTACTTTGTATACCATATGGCCGCTATACTAGACATGGTACAGCCAATGAGAGACAGCTTCTGTAATCTAGTTAGGCCCATCAGCCACAAGATGTTTGAAAACAACCGTAGATGAACCATGGGATCTCCGGAGCCATCGAATCAATCGATGTGCGGCATTTTGAACCGATCTAGCAATGTCAGTGCAAAGTTAGTATAACTGTCCTCTATGTCCAGGATGGAGTTAACACCTTGTGCTCTCTTGAATAGCTTCTCCAGTTTATTAACCTTAAGCGCAGTCGGGTCCACCTCAAACTCAAACGGAGCCTTGGTTTGATACACAGGTGCTTTTGAGGCATGTGCTAGGATCGACTCTGCCGGATTGCACTGATTTTCTTGGACATTAGCAGTATGGGCGGTGGCTCTGGGTGCTAGGATACCCATGGGAGGTGCATGGGATGTAGAGACCGTTGTCGGCTACGGTTGTGACCACGGCCTGACGGGCAGCATCTTGTTGTAGGGTTTCAACTGTCTGCTGAAGATGATGTATCAATTCCTCCATACTGACTGGGGGATACTGTGTCATCGGAATAGGTAAGTGATCTCGTGCTGGACTAGAAGTAGAAGACTGTCCCTGAACCTGACTAGATACGGGTGAATTGAGAGGTGATTGCTATAAAAACTGAACCGGTGAATTTTTCCTGACTTTTCTCCATCTTGTAACCAATGGAAGTGAAGTAAACATGGGATGTCCCCGAACATGATCCCCGACTTTGCAAAGCCTTCTGACTTGGGTCCAGAGCACTTGGGGGATATCCGAACTTTCTAAAGTTATGGTGTTAAACTACCTAGCAGAAAGAAATAAAGCAAAAAAGAAAGCAGTAATCAGAAACTGCACAACACCTCAGCTAATGATGTTACTAACACAGATATAATCAAAGCTATAGGACTGTACTCAACACTAAATTCTGCCCCCCAAAACAAATACCAAACTAGCAACTGATGTGCACATTCCTGTACAGTTTCATTGTAAAGCACATACCAGTTAAATGAGAGCCAAAACACCCCTATGAGGGGGTAGGGTTACCCTATCCTAGTTTCGTCAGGAACTAAGGTTCACTATTCACACAGAGCGGTTTCACGTAATCCTGTATTCGGGTAAGCATCTTGTCCTAGTTTGGAATAGTCTCTATGGCTTTTCAATATGCAACTTGGCCGAATAGTCAAAAGGGTACCTCAGCAAGACTACCTAATATACCTCTCACACCAAACATCAAGAAGTAAAAGGAGGATCAAACAGTACAGCGGTAGTCTAGATCCAAGGGTTGTGTTCCCATCATGGCAGAGCCCACGACCAGTCAGCCTTTTGGCAAGCTTTTAGGCAAGCCTCTAGCAAACTGTCTAGGAATAGCAGGTGGCAAACACAATGACTTAAGCGCACCAATGCAAATGCAATGCAAAGAAACATATAAGTGTAGATAAAATTTCACATCATGAATTTCAAGTCAAGTTCTCTAATTTCCCTAGCGGAGTCGCGAGAAACTGTAGCTCGATATTTTGTGTCTCTTTCGGAAGACAAATAAGCCCTACAGTATCGGACTCTGTAGACACCCCATTTTTGACCGACCTTAAGACTCAGACGTCACCAGTTGAGCGCTCGGTGATATTGCATATCGTGCTCGTTCAGAAGTTTCAGAGTCTCGGCTGCGAGCCTTGCCTCCGGACTTCCGGGCTCTTTCGTGCCTTGCCTCGGTTTGCGAACCAGGCTCGGTTTTCTCTGTTTCTCTTCCCGAAGGGAGGGAGAGGTCTCGTAGATCATCTCTCAGTGGCCGTAGGCTACGTTTCGTGGTCGTAGGCCATTTTTCCCGTTTGGAGCCCGGTTTCTGATTTTTCGGAGCCGACGACCGTGTACCTCGGTTCGGGACTACCTAACCACCTCTGTTTGCTCCGATTTTTGGTATACACCTTATTTCCTCCCTTTTGAGGAACACTGTGGCCCGAGAGACCAACTTCGTAGTCAAGCGCCACCTCCAGTGCTTAACAGCCCATTTTCGGGGCCCCAGACCACGCGTTTCGGTCCCCGAACCTCCGTTTTGCATCCGTTTTGGTTCATTTTTGGTGGAGACCTTATTTTCATTGTTAGAAAGCTTGTAGGAGGGTGGGAGGCCAATAATTGTTCTGAAAATCCAATTTTATTTCTTCATCGCTCTCCGTCGCCCGTTTTCCTCACTAACAAGCCAATGTTGACCACCCCGGGGCCACTTTCTTTAGCCCTAAACCCCATATTTGTGTTGTACACACCTGGGAGGCCACCAATATCACATATTGATAGGCCAAGCCGTAATTGTCCCTGACCCTTTTGAACCCCTCTATAAAGTTGGCTTTTCTCTCTCCTGGTTCACATTTTCTAGTTTGACCATATAGTTGTGTTGTGCACACATGGGAGGCCACCTTTTTGAGGTGGCCGACCAAGCAATCTTCATTGACCCTTTTGACCCCTGGCCGCCGGCCAGGGGGATGCCAGGCGGCCACACTGACACTTTTGGACCTGGCCGGCCAGAATCCTCTCTCCAAGTGCCTTCCAGCTGTAGCCCTCTGTTTTCCCCCAGATTTTGTATCCGGGGGGTGCCTTTTGGGGGGAAATTTGAATTTTATTTTCCCCCCCCCATTCTCCACTCTCCTCCTCTGTATAACCAGCACCCCTCCTTCATGTTTAAGGGTTACAAAAATTGTTTTGAGCCTGCATACAACTCTCCCTCTCCCTCTCCTCTCTTCAAACCTTCAAACCCTAAGGTTCTTGCCCTCTTTACACTACCACTCATAGCACCCACCTCCACCTCCATTCCAACCTTTAAAGTTGATTTCCAGAGGCTGGGAGCACCATTTCTTGGACCAAAAGTTGTTGAAGACTTAGGCTACAAGGGTAAGTCTCTTTTCCCTCTCTTTTAGATCTATTTGCATGCTTTCTTAGCCTTTGTTGCTTGCATTTTTGGGCTCCGACCCAAACTGGAAATAGTCATATTTCGGCTCTTCTCATGTTTGATCAGGGTCTTTCTCTTTTTGAGGTCTCCTCCTCCCTCTTTGTGTTTAAACTCTCTTTTGGGCCTATTTTGCATGATATTTTTAGGCTTATTTGTGAGCTG